CAGCTTCCGTTCTTCTGGGAAGACTGATCACAAGGTTTAGGAGTGTGTCTATGGGAGTGTTTGACCATTTTTACAGAAGGGCATTTGTGAGGTCAGCCACTGATGTCAGTCCTAGGTGGCAGTCTCTGCTCTAATTCATCCTAAAGGTGATCTATTGGGTTGAGGTCAGGACTCTGTGAAGGCCAGTCAAGTTCCTCCACCCCAAACTCGCTCATGCATGTCTTTATGGAGCTCGCTTTGTGCACTGTTGGAATAGGAAGGGACCATCCCCAAACTGTTCCCACAAAGTTGGGAGCATGAAATTGTCCAAAATGTCTTGGTATGCTGACGCATTAAGAGTTCCCTTCACTGGAACTAAGGGGCCAAGCCCAATCCCTGAAACAAACCTACACCATAATCCCCCCTCCACCAAACTTTACACTTGGCACAATGCAGTCAAGCAAGTACCATTCTCCTGTCAATCGCCAAACCCAGACACATTCATCAGATTGCCAGACAGAAGCATGATTGGTCACTCCAGAGAACATGTTTCAACTGCTTTAGAGTCCAGTGGCGAGGTGCTTTACACCACTACATCGGACACTTTGCATAGCACTTGGAGATGTAAGGCTTGGATGCAACTGCATGGCCATGGAAACCCATTCCTTGAAGCTTTCTACTGACTGTTGTGCTAATATGAAGGCCACACAAAGTTTGGAGGTCTTTAGCTATTGACTTTGCAGACAGTTGGCAACTTCTGCACACTGTGTGCTTCAGCATGCGCTGACCCCAGTCTGTCATTTTACATGGCCTACCACTTCATGGCTGAGTTGCTGTTGTTCCCAGTTGCTTCCACTTTGTTATAATACCACTAACAGTTGACCATGGAATATTTAGTAGCAAGGACATTTCATGGATGGACTTATTGCACAGGTGGTAACCTATCACAGTACCACGCTTGAATTCACTGAGCTCCTGAGAGTGACCCATTCTTTCACAAATGTTTGTAGAAGCAGTCTGCATGCCTAGGTGCTTGATTTTCTACACCTGTGGCCATGGAGGTGATTGGAATACCTAAATGCAATGATTTGGAGGGGTGTCCTAATTCTTTTTAGAAACATAGTGTGTATATATATATATATATATATATATATATATATATATATATATATATATATATTAATTATGATATAGTTTGAAATCACAGGATAGCACAGGACAGCCCAGAGCCATCCCAGAATACTTATGAAGATAACGGCTTTCTTAGAGCTGGTATTTTCATAGCCATACTCATTCTCATCTATAATATATATATATATATATAAATGCTCAGAACAGATGATTGGTTACCAGCATTGTATTGTGGGATGTGGGCAGAGGGTGAGCCTATCCTACAGGTGGAGGGTACTATATTGGATAATACAGATAAAGGTATGTGCCCACAGCTTATTTTCACAGGTTTGTTTTAGGTGTGTTTATTTTTTCAAAATATTCCCAAAGCCTGTGAAAATAATGTTTTGTAATTGATGCTGTTCATCTATATTATCCCAGTTAATTTTTCTACCAGGATGCACAAAAAAATAATGTTAATTAACCTAGTTTATAATTACAGGTACTTGTATAGCACCATCAATATAAAACATATATATTGTACATTCACATCAGTCCCTGCCCTTAAGGAGCTTACAATCTAAGGTCCCTAACGTAGTCTCATGGTAGGGATTTGAACCAACAACCCTAATGATGCTAGGTGGAAGTACTAATCATTCAGCCACTGTGCTGCCCTAGTTATGTATCTTTACTTTTATTAAAACACAGGGATAGCAGTTTTGAGTGCACACTGATACAATGTGCCCCTTGCAAGTCTATAACTCTGGATTCCTTTCTCTGGAAACAATTCCTGCCCCTTAGCCAAGACTTCTGTGTTCTCCTGTACTTAAGTGTCATGACTTCTCCTCACATGGTGTATATAAACAAATATTTCTCAGAACAGTTTCTTCCCTCTTTTCTCTGTGTACAGTCAGCAAGATCCAAGCAAGTATGTGCCCTGGACTTTCTGAACCATTTGCTAGATCCTCCTAGCTACTTCAGGGGGATGAGGAGGCTCCTGTCAGCTGTGACTGGTGACATTGGCTGGAAAGTTATATAAATGTTTGGATCGTGCAGAGGGTACGAGCAGCAAAAAAGTGTACTGTAAAATATTCACCTAAATACACCATATTATTGAGCTTTTACCATTCATATTTGTAAATGGCTTTAAATATTCACCTAATTTTGGAGGACTTTATTCAGAGAGGTGGTGATTGTGCAATGTATATTTTACAAGGCGTTACTTAAAGAGAGTGATGCCTTTGGTGAACCCCAAGGAAGTTGCTGTTTAGGGTATCTCCACGTCGAAATACCAAACTAAAGTTCTAAAGTAAAGGCAAACCTTTTTTTTTAGTTTTGGACAGATCGGAGAGAAATTAGAATGCCTGTCAGGTTTTTGTTGCTGTCTGTGCCCCTGTTAGGGAGATTTACCCTCTCTTTTTGTCTTGTTTACTATTATAATGGAACATGAAAGCAAATAAAAATCCCACATTTTGAGTTGTCCCCAGAATGGTAATAGTGTGGAAATCTTCCATTGGACTGGAAGGAAGAGTCAGCACAAAAAAAGCCTGTTGGTAATTTGATTGACAAAAGTGCCTGATTTGGTTGTTCAAAGTATAAGCATCTGCTTTAGTAAAACATCCAATGACTTTATTTCACCAAAGGATAGTAGATGTTTCGTGCCTATCATTTGAACAACCACATCAAGCGCCTCCACCTATCGAATCACCGACAGGCTTTTTTTGTGGTGACTCTTCCTACCAATTTGTCCATCAACCTGAGAACCCTGCAGAACACCCAGGATGAGAATGCCTGAGACATAGAGAGTGACCACACTGACCCTGCGTGGAGACAGGTTTTCTCCACTCGTGCACTAGGAAGGCTGCATGCCCCCCCTCCCCCCTGCTGGGTGACCACACCTGGCACTGGTGACAACCAGAGATTCCCTCACTTTAGAGAGATTATCAATTACTTCCTGCTTAGGCTATGGGACAGGAGGTGATGGGAAATCTCTCCAATGGGACATAGATGGTAAAAAAAAAACCATGCAGGGGTTATAACCCTCCCTTACTCTATCCAACATGAACAAAAAGTTTACCATTAGTTCCACTTTCAGTTTATAAAGAAGACCCAATAACGTGCAAAGAAAATAAAACAATATTTTTGCTTACACACGATTGTATGGCAGAAGTCAGTAGAGCGTATTCACTAAGCTCAGGGAACATTGCCATTGTAAAACAGTCTTTTTTTCCTTTAGTAAATCGACACCCATGTTTCTGTTCAAAAGTCCTGAATTACATCTGACTGTTCTACTGATCCATTCCTATAGTGGTACTTTATCTGTTGTACAGTAAGAGTACCTTGACATGTGGGTTTGCCATTGAAACATAGATGATTGCTAAATGAATGTTACTTGGATGTGTTTCTCATCCTTTCAAGGTAGGGGCTCCTTTTTGACAGAGAAGCAACTGTTGTATTGTCCTTTTAAAGGGACTTCTTATTTGCATTTGATTGGTGGAGCATTCTGGAAGTATTGTATGCATTGCAGTTACACCATAGGCAGACTCACTGCTGTGGTAGGGGCTGATGTCCTTTTATTAGAGGGGATTCGCTGCCATGATTTGTATAAAGTATCTTGTTCATGTAGATTGCTGGATCATATTTGGCTACATGCAAACAGTGGCAGCCACTGTAAACCTGTCATTACTTTAAATAGGCTGAGTGACTGCTGCTATTCACATGCCCCTGTGATTTCAGCTGAAAAAATCCACTGATTCTTGCCACTGAAATCAGTGTATGTGACGACATGGCCATGTGAAGGAGGCCTTAAAAAAGTGCCTTTATGCATGTACATTGCATGGTGGTACCTATAAAACACTGCTAGAATGGAGCTCTGTTTTCTATACATTGTTTTTTTCTGTTGTAGTCACATATTTGAGTGTAAAATTTTCACAAATTTAATAGTATTTCACAGGTGACACTAGATTATGAAGAATAACCAGTAGATCACTCACATTCTCAAGGGGCTTCTCAGGTTTATCTTAAACCTGTGAGCCTCTTACTAGGAGAGAGTAAGCCAACATTGTTATGGGGACTTGGTTTAACCACAGGAAGACATGGTATCACCCCCCCAAATACTCTCTAACACTCTTGGCAGTATTTCTCTTCTCTTTTTTACTGGTCAGGAGAATTTTTATGTATGTAGCAATCTCATCCCAGCCACATCCACCAGTATCATCCTACAAAAGTGTCTTTATAAGCCTCTAGAATTTGCTTTTGTAGAGATATAGGAAGTTGTTCCATCATTTCCATTTACTTTTATAAACAGTATTGTAAAAGGATATTCCATGAAAAGGATCACACTCCCACTCTCTCTCTTTCCCACCTGAGTCCCTTTGCAACTCCAGTATTTTACCATGAACAGAAGTCACGGTTTCAGATTTTGTTTTTATTGGGTATTATCATGATTTTGGTTATTATAGTGAAACCATTCAGTTATAACATTATTCAACTACAGTCCTCTGTATTACAGTATATTTTCTAGCTAACTAAACTTCAGCTAATGAACTCCTTTAAATCCGTTTTCATATGTAGCTACCTTTCTACACAGCTAAAAATGTTAATTAACATTCATTGTGTGCATTAATAATAACATTCATTGTATGCTTTAATAAATTTGCATTGCATCTGAAAAATATCCTGTATTGATTATAAGGTATCATGAAACGTTTGAGCTTCCAAAGGGGTGTTCATTTTAGGTTTAAAAAAATGAAAAGTAGTATGCAACACCAGGATTCTCTGTTATTTGATTATATGGTGTGCTAAAAAACTTTGTGCTGTGTTTTTAAAAGAATGTTTAACATTATTTCCCTTTTCAAGAACCACAAAGGTTAAGCATTTGGGCAATAACATTTGGTTGCATGGATCTGATCAGCCATTTTGTTCATTCAATCTATGCAGATTTCAGTAGCTTGTCTGATAGCAACTTATGGGAATAGCCAAGGGCAAGTGGTTTCCATGAAGTCTCTCAGAACACTGAGGGCATTGAGGCCTCTACGAGCCTTGTCCAGATTTGAAGGCATGAGGGTAAGGTTAATCACATTTTATCAGTGTTTCTTCACATTTTTTTTTACAGGAAAATAACGTCTTTTGCTTTTAGGAAAAGAACAGTGGATATAAAAAAAATGTACTTAATATGTATCTTAATTTACACAGAAATATCAAGGAAAGACAGTGCTTCAGGATTATTTATTTCGTAAGGATTCAAATTGAAACATATAAAAATTGTAACTCTGCTTTTCTCCTAATATTTTCCTTCTGCAGGTCTTTGGTTATGCATAATTTATTCATCAGAAGCAGGTAAAGATGGCCAAAGTGTGTTAACGGCCTGGATTCTGTTTTGTGTCTCCATTTAGGTGTCTTTAATAAGCTTGATAGCTACTGCCCTGGGATTCTCCGAATTTGGTCCTATTAAATCTCTTAGGACCCTCAGAGCTTTGAGACCATTAAGGGCATTATCACGGTTTGAAGGGATGAGGGTAAGATTACAACAGCAACCCAACTGGGTCCATTTCAACAAAAAGCATGTGTAGGACCTAATTTTATTTGAATTGATGTTAGTAGATCTGTATACAAGAATGGCTCTTCCATTTGGTATACAGTTAGTTTTTTCTCAATTTTGACATTTGTTTCATCCTTGCAAGGAGATTTGAAGTTATATAGATGGGGAAATCTCAGTACAGAGAATGAAACAAATAACAGAGAGATTTCAGACGAGGGTACATCATCAACCCTTGCAATGAGTAATTGACAAAGGTATCAAAATTTCAAGATTTGTGGTGTTTTTTTACCACCTCTTCTAAGTTCTAAAGTCATGAATACATTCATTGCAAATACTTTCTTCTGAAATACTTGTGTGTTTGCTAGCTTGCCAATTATTGGGTTTTATTTGCATGTTCAGCTTTTATTCTATTAACCAATTCCGTTTGACAGATTTCTTCTGTGTGAAAATAAGTCTCAAACTCTTGCATGTAATTTTTGTTAAGTTTTAATCAATGCATGTCTTTGCAGTGTCTTTCTCTTTCAAATTGGCTGCTCATATATAGGGTAGACATCATGGGGTTTATTTACTAAAGCTGGAGAGTCCAAAATCAGACTCACTTCTGCATAGAAACCAATCAGCTTCCAGGTTTCATTGCCAAAGCTTCATTGAACAAGCTGAGGTTAGAAGCTGATTGGTTTCTATGCAGAAGGGAGTCTGATTTTGGACTCTCCAGCTTTAGTAAATAAACCCCCATGTGTTCTAATCTTAAATAAATGTGTTCACTTAATACTGTACATTCTAAAGTATGCCTTCTGTTCACTTCAGTGGTAAGGTCCATGTCTGTGCTTGGCTTTTCTTGTAGTCATTTTCAGTCATACAGTCATATGGTTCTCATGGACATTAGATGACTGCCATCCAGTACAGGGTGTATTGGCAAAAAATGAACTCAACTGATATCTGAAAAACACATAATAAAAGTTAGACTGGTTGTGCTGGAAATAGTGATTTGTTCTTCAAAGATAGATCCAGATCGCTCTGAAGCTCTGTTTATGTGTAAAATTTCATGCTGTGCAGTGAAAAATATATAGCATTATTTGAACTGACTGTATGTAGCACTATTAGAACTGACCTCAGTAGGATCTGACCTTTAGATAAACTGAAATCTTACATTATGAATGTCCCAGGCACATTTACATGGTGGTAAGGTTTTAAGCACATTCAGTCTTAGATGTGCTTCTTTTCAAGTTTCATGAGAAAATGGGCCCAGTCATTTCAGCTAAAGCAATTGTAAACCAGTTTATTAACTTTAGCAAATATAATAATGAGGGTGAGGAATGAATCAGAATACTCCAAAAACGTAGTTGGTCTCAGTCACCAGACCAGGCTCCAATTCTCCTCAAAGGCACACTAAGCATCAAAGTCTCCCTGCTCTTACAGGCTATGTGTACTTGAATACCCACAGGTCTTTGGCTTATTGGAGATCAAGCTTCTATAAGTGTCTTGGTCCTGGTGTTCCAAGGCAGGAGTGTTGAGAAGGTTTGTGGACTTCTCAGTTCTCATGTGGGGGACAGCTGCAATTGCTTTCAGCAGCCAGTCAAATCTCCCAGAAGGGGAGATTCCTCCTGCTTCCATCCTTTAGGTCCTTGGCCCTGAGGAGAGGGACAGACAACTTACAGATCTATCCTCTTAGGTCTAGGCCCAGGAGGGAGGAAAAGATCACGTGACAGGAAGTATTTCAAATATTTAACAGCTCCCTGCACATATAACGAGCACGACCCCCTAACAGTTTTGAATAGTGTGGTGAGGGGCTAGAACCTCTAACAGGTCTTTGTTGCTTCCTGTGTCCTCCCTGGGCAGATATACTCTCTTTATTTACATTAAGTATTATTATTATATATCCACTCACTGGCCTCTTTTTTAGGTAAACTTGTTCAATTGCTTGGTAACACAAATTGCTAATCAGCCAATCGTATGGCAGCAACTCAATGCATTTATGCATCTAGACATGGTGAAGATGACTTGCTGAAGCTCAAACCAAGCATGAGAATGGGGAAGAAAGGGGATTTAAGTGACTTTGAACGTGGTATGGTTGTTGGTGCCAGGTGAGATGGTCTGAGTATTTAAAAAGTTGCTGATCTACTGGGATTTTCATACACAACCATGTTTAGGGTTTATAGAGACTGGTCCAAAAAAAGAAGAAAATATCCAGTGAGCAGCAGTTGTATGGACAGAAATGCCTTGTTGATGTAAGATGTCAGAAGAGAATGGGCCGACTGGTTCTAGATGAAAGAAAGGTAACAGTAACTCAAATAACTACTCGTTACAACCATGGTATGCAGAATACCATCTCTGAATGCACAACACATCGAACATTGAAGCAGATGAGCTACAGCAGCAGAAGACCACACAGGGTGCCACTCCCATCAACTAAGAATAGAAAACGGAGGCTACAACTCACAAAGGCTCACCAAAATTGGACAATAGAAGACTGGAAAAATGTTGCCTGGCCTAATGAGTCTCAATTTCATCTGCGACATTCAAATTCAGATTTTGGCATAAACAACATGAAAGCATGGATTCATCCTGCCTTGTATCAATGGTTCAGGCTGGTGGTGGTGTAATGTAGTGATGGGCCGAACACCCCCTGTTCAGTTCACAGTCAAACATCTGAACCTACCAAAAGTTTGACTGCGAACTTCGAACAGGGACAATTTACTGAGCGGTATCTTACCGCATCTGATCATGCGGTAAGATACCGCTCAACTACTAAAAGACAGCATGAGTTATATTATTAAGTCATGCTGTATTTTAGTAGTGAAACATTCTTTACTGTTTCAGCTGTGAGCGGGGTTCCCCTCTGACAGATGAATGTCAACGAATTATTGGCATTGCCCATTAAAACTTTTTTGTAAAAAACGTGTGGGGTCCCCCCTCCCATCCATACCAAGTTCTTTGGGTCTGGTATGGATTTTGAGGGGAACCCTCACACCAAAATTAAAAAAAAAAAGGCAGGGCCCCCCCCCCCAAAATTCATACCAGACCCTTATCCGAGCATGCAACCTGACAGGTCAGGAAAGGGAGGGAGAGCAAGCGCCCCCTTCCTGAACCATACCAGGCCACATGCCCTCAACATGGGGGGCTGCTGTGGGGCAGGGGAGCTCCCCCCCAAAGCACATTGTCCCCATGTTAATGGAAATAGGGGCCTCTTCCCGACAACCGTGGGCTGTGTTTGTGGGGGTCTATGGACGGGGGGCTTAACGGAATCTGGAAGCCCCCTTTAGCAAGGGGGTCCCCAGATCCCAGCCTCCCCCCATGTGAATGAGTATGTGGTACCGCTACTATTCACTGCTATTCACAAAAAAAAAAGTGTAAAAATGACAGGAGATAGTCTTCAACAAGTTCTTTAATTAAAATCAAAAATTTTAAAAATTCCCCTGAAGTAGATCCACGTCAAGCATGAGGCCCACAGCCACCGCTGCTCCGGTATGACAGTTCTTAAAAACTGTGATGACATCACAAGGGGGTGGGGTAACTCCTGGCCCTTGTGAAGTCATCAGGCACTGTGATTGGCCAAAGCATTGCACCTGACCTGTTGTCAGGTGCATTGCTTTGGCCAATCGCAATGCACTGTCAGGGAGCATTGCATTGTGGGGCGGGGTGGGTGAATAGCCCACCGAACGCCTTTACCATGCATATGTTCAGTGAACACACAAACAGCCAATGTTTGAGTCGAACTAGTGTAGTGGTGTGGGGGATATTTTTTTGGCACACTTTGGGCCCCTTAGCATCAATTGAGGATCGTTTAAATGCCATGGCCTACCTGAGTATTGTTACTGACCATGTCCATACCTTTATGACTACAGTGTACCCATCTTCTGATGGCTACTTCCAGCAGGTTAATGCATCATGTCACAAAGCTCAGATCATCTCAAACTGGTTTCTTGAACATGACAATGAGTTCACTGTACTCCAATGGCCTCTACAGTCACAAGATCTCAATCCAATAGAGCACCTTTGGGATGTGGTGGAACGGGAGATTCGCATCATGCATGTGCAGCCGACAAATCTGCAGCATGATGCTAACATGTCAATATAGGCCAAAACCTCTGAATAATGTTTCCAACACCTTGTTGAATCTATGCCACAAAGAATTAGGCAGTTCTGAAGGCAAAAGGGGGTCCTATCTGGCACTAGCAAGGCGTACCTAATAAAGTGGCCGGAGAGTGTCTATTTTAGTATATTATGTAAAGTCAACTATTTAAAATATTCAGTTGTATGCTCCACTATGTAAGTTATTTAAATAAATAGTTAAGTTTATTAATTTTTATTTTAAATATGTAGAAGTGCATTCATCCCAAAGGAAACATTACACAGGTATTGCTAGATGCTCTCCTAGGCAAGGAAAGGAATTAACCTTGACTAAAGCCTCTTTTACTATGTGGTATTATGATGATGATGATTACTGTTGCTATTATTATTATTATTATTATTATTATTATTATTATTATTATTAATAATAAAGCCTATTTTTTTAGTATGGATA